TGGCAGAGAGTGGTTTTTTTTTTACACTGATACACTATTCTGTTGCTGTCAGCTGAATGCGTTCTAAGAATCAAATGAGGAAAACAAGACAGCCTTCCATTCTTTCCTCAAGGAAGGTCACACAGTGCCCTCCATGTGACCCCAACATGGAATCAAAGACATTATAATGGCAGTTACTTTCCAGGGTAATTTTCACAAAATAGAAAACACCCATAAGTGCAGCACAACAAAGTAAAGCCTTTATGTAAATGAACTATACAATGGTAGAGGAGGTTAGAAATTTGACAAACAGGCATATAGTTTATTTAAAGTACCTTAAACCATTCTGATAAATTGTAGAAGTATGAACATTAAATTTATGTTCAAATTAATCTGGAAAAACGTGGCCCTGCTGACAATGGCTGTTACCTCCCTGCCACCACAGGTTTTTTTTTTTTTTTTTTTTTTTTTTCTTTTTCCTTTTTATTGGGAACTCATGACTGCCTGCTTTACAAGGCAGGTGCTTATGCGGCTGAGCTAAATCCCCAGCTCCCCTGGCATCACAGTTAAATCACCATTTCCACAGTGTGCTCATGGCAAGGCTGAGTCTAAGGAACAGCAGCTCTGCTCTTGCCTTGGATGGAGCCAGACACCTTGGAGACATAAAAACAAATGCACTTGGTTACTGTGTTTTTAACTCACTTAAGACTGGAAATTAGGAAGGGAAACTGAAGATTGAGCTCCCAGGAAGCTGTTTATGCTGCTGACATCACTTTTTTTAAAGGTTTAAACGAGGAGTCACATGAGTAAGCACTAGACATGCAGAAGGCTGGTGAACAGTAGCATGACTCTTGGGGTGACACAATCTACCCCACCACTTGTGATGATTTTTTAACTCAAAAGAATCAGAAATCTGGTCCTGTCATTTTACCTGATCACCTAGTGTCTGCATGTTTTGCAGGCAAAGTCTTCTGCTTGAAAACAAGTTTAGAATACTTGTTTCACTGCACTTCTAGAGGAGTCAAGAAAAGATGGGTTTTAGCCTTTACTTTATTCACATGGAAAAGAAGAAAAACATTTCAAAGTTGTCAAATGTTAATATCACAACAGCTTCTAGTTTCATTGAAAGGGAAACTGAACAACAGGATTCAACTGGCAAAACTGGTCACACCTCCTGTACTCCTCCCTGACCCTTGTCTATGCAGATCATGCTCACTAAACTGCAGGATGAGAACTTCCTCTGTGAATTATAGGGAACACAAGATACATGAGCCCTGGTCAATGGAGAAAAATATCCAAGGGTCATTAGCTTCTGCTCTTCATTTCTCTTATTTCTCAGTTCCAACAATCCCCCTTTCTTCATTTTTTTGAACCTGACAGTTGCCAAGAAGTTTCAATCCCTAAACCACTCTCCACCTGCCTAAAATTTAGAGTTTCTCCTTAGGGTAACTGTTCTCAATAAGAGCAAATGATACTGAAATGTTCAAAGCAACACATTTCTCATGGGTTTTTAATCACCGAACTTTACCTGCTTGTGGACTTGTTGCTTAAAGCACCTTCTAGTTAAAAATCCCAATGGCCAAGCTCAGCCATGCTTATGCATTGCCTACTTCACATTCTACAGCTGTCCTTTAACCTCACTCACACTAACCTATTGCCATGTCTATATGTTGTTGCAGAAAAACATTTACAATGCCTGCTGCAATGCCAGGCACCGTAACAACTGCACCTAACAAGTATATTGCCATTTATCTGCTATCAAGATTCACAAATGGAGAGACTGCTCCACTGACCAAAATTTAACTATAACAAGAAATACAAAACATTTCCTCTAACATCCAAGATGCCAGAGTGTCCTCATTTAAAACATGCTGATCAGTACTGCAACAAAGATACTTCTGTTTTAACCAGTTTAATGCCAACAATGACAATGTCTCTAAAACCACCCTCCAATTGAAACAATTAACCAGACATTCATTGCAGAGCCCTCTCAAAGGCACCCTCATTCTTTAAAATTAAGTCTGCCTTTCTCAACCCCTGGAATTCTATAGCAGGTGTCTTCATAAGAACCAAATAGGGCTCTTGCTGGGGACCTGTGTCACCATGTCAGTACTTGTCCCTGAAGCAGGAAGCTACAGACTGCTTCCTGCAGGTGTGCTACAGCTAGCAGGTGACTACAATTAGTGTGGGATGGAGCCAAGCTGTGTGCAATGAGACTGGCAGATTGCTGGGTGAAAACATGCTCACTGCTTTAAACACTGAGAGCACTATGCAAGGAAAAAGATGAAAGGATTTGGGAACTAAATCAGTGAATTTCTGTAACACCATGGAGTGCTACGAAGGAGATCATCTGACAGACTGAATCAAGGTTTATGCAATGCAAGAATCTACAAAAGCATCAGGGTATGAATCACAGCCACAAAATGTTTTTTGAAAATCCTTTCAAAAATGAGGCCCTTGAATGTAACAGCTCTTCCAGAAGAATTTTTGTTTTTATTTGGATATTAACAATTAGCAATTTGTTTTTTAAAAATTGTACGATCTACCCAAAGATAAAATATCTGGAAACCAGAAAAAGATTTTTCAAGTAGCTCTCAGCACAACAGATTATGGGAATACCATTTTGACGCATGAGGTTAAGACATGAGAGAAACTAGGAATGTTTTTTTTTAATATAATTACTCGTGGGCACTCCAATTTATAGCCAAATACTATTAGGAAAGCTTTGCCAAAATCATAGTTTTAGAAAAAACCACTTAGAAAAATTTGACATTTAAAGTGTAAATTTCTGTAAGATGTTAGGTGACTGTTCAAAGTTGTGGGGAAAAAAAACTACACATGCCTCTACTAATCAAGTCATACTATTAACTCTTTGATTTCACCTACATATGTGGGCTTACCATGGTTTCTTCAATGCTTATTTTTAGGAGGGCGTAGCCACTAAGAAGCCCCTAAAAAAGTTCACAAGAAGTTGAGTTAACTCAAACATTCACTTTGAGAGGGTTGTCTATAAATGGAAGACATGTATAGAAGAACTCCATCCCTGCCCTCAGACCCACACAACATGATGTATTTGTTTATTTCCTTCCCAGTAAGGTTCCATTATGCAGTGAGACTATTTACTCACAGATCAACAGCATCTGCTAAGGTCTGCTGAGCCTGTGGTTCTTTAGACTGGGGGATTACTACGTGAACACAGGACTGCACGTGTACACTGGAAGAACCAACGTTGTTTCTGCTCAGTTATCAAGTGCTGAGAATAAAGCCCTGGCTTTAAAGCCATTAAGTTCCTGGCTTATGAATGGTATCCCCTCAATTATAAGTTTATTCATTCCACAACTGACAAAGCATAAAGACTTGGGTAAGGAGTGGGTGACATGCCGTTGGCAGACAGCTAGGTACTCACCCAGCCATTCTTCCTTGTCAAGAGAACCTGTGGCTAACACTTGGCCTTTGGCTGGGGCACAAAATTTAAGGAGGTACAAAAAAATGCATTAATCTAGTACATATTTCAAAATGCAATATTCTTTAAAATTGGCAATTAATTTAAAAATCCACAATGAAACTACGGAGGAAAGAGAGAAGGAGTGGGGGTCTCCGATAACACTGTGAAGCTGACACCTTGGTCCATCTATTGCAATTTCCTATAGCCCGAAACAGTAAGATTCTTAATCTACTTAAAGCATTACAACTGGGTTCAGTGAATAACTGATGAATGCAGTTCTTTTTTGAATTTTTAAAATTTTTACTAGTACATGTTTTCAGTACATAATAATTATATCCATCGTTGGGAGCTGGTATATGTACACAACACACTGCAATTCTTTTTTACTCCCCCCCAACTCTTGCTCCCCTTCCCATTTGTAAAACATCTATTTCTCTAAATAACTGATAAATATAGTTCTTAGCTGAAATACTATACATACAAAAATGCTAACCATAATGATACAACCATCATCTTCAATGAAATGGAGCTGTTATTTGGAGCAAAAACTAACTTAATGTAGGTCAGTGTTGTTTTTTCAAAAACCAAGATTCTCTCATTCCTGATACTGCTCCCACACAAAAGAGGAACACCTCTGCATTAAGACATACTGGGGAGTACTGAAAATGAGGCATTAACTGCAGATACTTTTAAACAAATGAAGCTTTGTTCTGTTTGGCAGGAGAGTAATTCAAACCATATGAACAAAATGTTGCCTGGTACAATTCTTTGCAAGACTTGTGACAAATATATATAAAAAGAAATTATAAGGAATGACAGCAAGCATTAGCTTATAGGTATCCTGTTGATATTAGGGGATACAAAATAAGGGAAGGAGGCATAGGGTGTCTGGGAACAGGTAAGTAAAAACAGAGCCTCCCATTCTCTCCGAACAAAGGCAGTGGGGGAAAGCCCTCAGTGACTGGAAAGACTTCAGAGATTAAACTACAGGTTCCTGTTTCAAGGGCAAAGCCCTTTTTTTAATAGCAGGAGAAAAGTAAAGTAAGCATCATTTATATCTTTCCCTGCTTGCGTGGGTTAAGTTATAAACCATCTGGCAAAATCCTGATCTTCAGGTCAGCCCTCAAGATAACAAAAGAACTCTGTCTGTCAAGCATTTATCAACACCTGAAATTGGTTCTTTTCATTCCAGAACCAAAGCTGTTTTATTAAAAGATCTTTAAACCTTTCCTTCAGTCCTGTAGGCCCTAGCCAAGATTTTAAGCCAATATTTTAAGAAAGAAAGAAGATGCAAGAGAGGCTATTAGTACAGCAAATGAGCAGAGACCCTGTACCTGACAGATACAGAGATACCTGTAGCTCTGGCTATGGGCCCCCATGGCCTTCCTGGATCACTTGGATGAACAGGCTCCACTGGAGCCCCAGCAGGAAGAAGATGAACAGCACAGCCAGGCCAATGATAGGATGAGGGATGCTGGTAGATAGAAACACTGCAGCAGATCCTTGCCTCAGAATTGTATGAGCTGGGGCTCTCTGTGGACCAGAGACCTGGCTTCACAATACCCTGGAGACTTACCCAGGAGGAAAGTGGAGGGCGCTCTCAGGGGCCAAAGGCTGAGAGGACAGAAGAGGTGGCCTCCCTGGGCTAGGACCCACCAGGAACTCCCCAGATAGAGGTAGAGGTCTTAGCAGTCACCATGGCGGGGAGGAGAAAGAACCTGATTTGAGGCCCAGGAAGCTGCTTCTCTTTTAGCTCTGTGTCCCTGGGTAGACTGCTTTGTTCCTTCAGGACCTCAGCTGAATCCTCCACAATGAGGATATACATCAGAAAATGAGCTGTTGAGGGCCCTAACAGATGCAACTAATGAGTCTGTGATTCCAAATCCTAGCTTCTCACCCTTTTCTGGTACTGACTCACCCCATCATTGCTTAGTGCTGTTTGCTTCTTCTGACCATTCTCTGATTCAAGACAGAACCAGAAGAGAAATGCAGAGCTCCAGATGTTGGGTCCGTTGTCCCTACGTCCCACATTACTGGCATGGCTCTCAATGCTCAGGGGGAAGCAATGGCTTTGGATTCCAGGCTGCCTTTTAAAGGCCAGGGCCTCCTCCACCCAAACAGGCTGTGCTTCGTCATTAGAAGCAAATGATGCTACAAACTACCTCTCACTGAACCTCAATCTGCTCTATCCACACTCCCGATTCCTGTCAAGCTGTACTCAGGAGCAGAGGTGAGGACAGGCAGGGCTTAGAGAAGAACACTGCCCAAATTCCACAGTGCTTTAACCTATGCTTTGCAGCCCTTTAGAGCACTGTGTTTCACTCTCTGCTGAAGACCATGGCAGAACTTTAAAGGTTTCATGGCATTTTGTTACAAGTTGAACAAGTTTGTGGAATGTAGGAAGAAAAGCTATCAATGTCATAGGAAAAGCACATTTTATAGTGTCCCAGAACTGCTCCTACTCCACTTACATTCTCCAGATCTTACATAAAAGAAATGAGGCTTCATCTACACCCTGGTACACACCAGAGGCCAGACCCAATGGAGGGATTCCTGGAAGAGAGAAAGGTTAGCAAGAAGGGCACAAAGATAGTCCTGAGCCTGTAGGCAAGGCGGGTGAGGACCTGGACTCCCACCCAGCTCACTTGAGCAACTAGCTACAGGGGGAACACAAAGGAAACCCTAGAAACCTGCTCTGATGTGAGCCCCTTCTTTCCCCACTCCCTGCAGCTGCTGATCCTCTGCCAGTGCTCTGCAAAGGAAAAGCAAACTGCAGGGGCTGGGGATTTAGCTCAGCGGCATAAGCACCTGCCTTGCAAGCAGGCGGTCATGAGTTCGATCCACGGTAACGGTAAAAAAGAAAAAAAAAAAAAAAAAAAAAGGAAAAGCAAACTTCAGTGCCCACTGTAAGGAGGAGGGATAAAGAGGAGCAAGGAGGACCTAGGATCCCCTTCCCCACCACAGCCACACAAAGCAGGTGGAGCCAGGGGAAAGGAGACCCATCCTGCAAACAGTTCCCTCCCAGCCCTGCCCCTTCACTGACTTTCTAGGCTTTGGCCCCTATGTGGTAAGTGGGGGAGGCTATGTCCTTTCTCCCTGCAAGGCTGTGGCTGGCGAAACTATGGAACGCCACAGCACCAGTGCTGACAAGTTGTTACTACTGACCACTGGACTCCACTATGACAGCACCTCACACCTGGGGCAGGCAAGCTACAGGCTCCTTCAGGCTCCTTCACAGACTTGACCACATGCTCCACGTGACAATAAACTAGACATGAACCCACAAGACACAAAATCACAAGCTAGCGCCTTCAAGTCTCAGAGCTGTATAAACAAACCAATGAGTCTTCCCTTGGGGAGACTTAGGCATTCTCCCAGAGATGCAGGAATCAAAAGGAATGCAGGAGGCCTGTGGAAATGTAGGCCCCTTCTTCCTCTATGAAGATCACTGAGTCACAGCATCTATCCACATTTAGTCAAGGAGACCATGTGAAGCTCTGAAAACAGCACAGCAGTCAATGTGGTCATGTGGAGGAGGCCACACTGCAGATAGCACTGTAAACACCCTCCATCTCTGCTGTGCGGACACAACCCATCAGCAAGAGGCAGCAAAATGGAGTCTGCTCCCTACCTCTGAATAAAATTCAAGAGCTTATGGAACCAGCACTAGTGCTGGCCTTTACTTTCCTAAATCTACTTTTCTCAAGACACCTGCGAGCCCTGGCTTCTCAGGATATGTTTTCTTCTACAAAGGGCCAACTACCTACTCCTCATGAAAGTACTTTTTTGCTTCACATCTTCAATATCTAAACTATGATTTCACCCTTATGATTCTGGTAAAGTCTTCATTGTTGCGAGAAACTTGGTTGTACAAGAACTAGCCCAGGACTATCTTATGTCTTCCTGAGTTAGTCATTATATCTAAATTGTTCAGATTCTGTCCAACCATAGTTAGTTTACCAAAAAAATAATATACAACGCCCGTAATCTTGATATTATATGAAAATGTCACTATGGTTATGCAGGGAAAACACCATCAGAATAGCAATACAACAAGACACAACTAATAAACACTTGTCTTCTTTCAGCTAGGCCAAATTTAATATGAACGAAGTGGGCTAGCTTCCTCACCTACTTGCCTTTGCCCTTCATCACAGCCCCGATGATCATGGATATGTTCTTGCCCTTGCAACTTGAAATGCACTCTCTAAGCCAGCAGCATTCATGTCACACATAAACTTTTTGGGAATTCCAGAAACTCAGATCTCAGGCTAGAGCCCTGGACTCAGTAGCTGCTTTTCGTATCATAGGCACACTCAAGATTAAGAAGCACTGCTCAGAACTGTTCTCCTCCCACAGGTCACTTACCCATACACTTTGGCCCTGGATCTGAGATTGCCTCTGCTCCTGGAGATTAATGAAGTATTCTCCAAGGAGTGCATTCACCATGGCAACTTCAGTCCAGCTGGCATTCCAACCTGTGCCTGGACCCACTGAGCCCCATACCCTTTAACTTTCCAAGGCAAAATTAGTCCAGAATGGTTAAAAATATGCAAAGCTTTTTGCTCTCCAAAATATTTATTCATAAGGAAAGAAGATCTACTTTTAGGTGTCAACTGCCAACCATCCCAGTTCACAGGCCCTCTCCTCCCACTTGCTCAGTTAGAAAGATCATATTGTTTCCTAGCATACAATTCCAAGGGCATTGAACATAGGCAGAGGACTCAGAGAAGGGCTCCAAGAACAGCTCTTAGTGAATGGAAACAAGATGATTTCTGCTCAAAGCAATTTCCTTAGCACTCACCCTTCCCTCCCTCACATATCCCATGGTGAAGGGATGCCAAGGCCACATGGAAGTTAACAGAACACCAACATATGCAAGACATATTTTTCACCCTGAAACAGAGAGAAGCAAGAGCTAATCAGTTAACTCTTTGAATCCCACCCAAGTCGAATGCTTAATAATAGTCTAATCCCCCCTTTCCTAGATGACAGAGAGATGAGACGAGGCCTATTTTTTGTTGTTGTTAACATGAAGGAGTGTGTATAAAAATAATGTAAAGTTTAAAAGCTTCTCACCAATTTTGCCCTGTATGGGAACCCTGAAAATGACCAAAACACAGCATTTACCACAGCAATGGTAACATGTGAGCCCATTTCCCAGTCTTCTGTCCACAGCAGCTGGCACTTATTCATCATAAAACTTTCCCAGCTGTGCCTAGGTGCTGCCTTAGACTCTTTCTCAATCATCATCAGGCCCACCCTGGAACTCCTCAATTGGATTCACATTTCGCAAGCTCTCCAGGTGACTGTCACCTCATGTGGATCCACAGAGTGAAATGTACCTGCTATCTTGGTCAGTTCTTGGGGGTTTCCAATGTCTACAGGTTCATTTCTATTTAAACTTCTCTAGAGGTTACAAACTGGAAGCTCACATACAATAATTGGCCCATTAATTTTTTAAAAATTTAGTATCAAAGATTTAAAGACTGGAAACCAAGTAAAAACCCAAGTTTCTGGTGCAAAAATACCAGCACACTTGACAATCTTGGGCCTACATTTCCACATGCTACAGTTAAGCAGTGGTTACTGATTTTAGACGAGGCACAGGCACATTCATTTATCCTCCATTTCTACTACTCCCTACTACCTCACACAGCCAGTTCTACTCATTCTTACTGTCAATCTAAATTTGTAACTATACTACAGTATAGTTGTCCCCCATATCAACAATTGCCTGTGCAATATTACTTCCACTTACTAAGTTGCTTTCACAACTCTGAGGTCAGCAACCATACCTGTCCTAGCATAGCTCTCCTTCCCCACAGGACCCCTCCACAGGAGGAGCTGCCATCACCTCTTCACACAGCCCCACCCTAAGGTATGCAGCCACACACCACGCACTCTTTCTATCACTCAGTGGTCCTATATCAAAGTTCTTCTGAGTATGAGCCAGCCATGTGCATTTCCCAGTTCTGCCATTCATGACAGACTGAGAACCCAGGGCACATGCTTAGACTCTTGCTATAATTTAAATGATGGTATCCTTGCCAAAACTAATGTTAACACTGAGTCCCAGTGCAGCAGTATCAAGTAGTGTGGCCTTTGGGCACTGACTACAGCACTTGGGCTCTCCCCTCATTGATAGATTAGTACTCTTATAAAGGGCTTTACCCTTCCCCCTTCCTCCAAGTAAGGATGCACCATCAAGGCACTAGCTGGGAATAGACAGCAGCTCCTGCTAGCACCAATGCTAGCATCTAGATTTTGTATATCCCAGCCCCCAGAACTGTAGGAAACCCATTCATGTTCTTTATAAATTACCCAGTGTTTACAGCAGCACAAATGAAGTAAGGTATCCCTTCATGCCCATCTTTTCCCTTATCTGTGAAATCAGGAATAGCACTTAAGTTACTACTTCACTGAGTTATTATGAGAAATAAAAGTACAGTGCTTAGCACAGTGTCTAGCACATAGGAGGTGCTCAGTAAAGGTGGTTTTGCTATTATACACAGTTGGTGCTCAAAAGGTATTTGTCAACAGATAATCTTTTCTATCACCTTTCACTATACTCTCATCTCCACTGAAACTGAGAACCATCCAACATTCCAGGCCATCACCTAGGGCAGGGAATGAGGTCCTGTAGTCAGCCTGGGTCTCTGGCCAGGCTCCCCACATAACATCTGAGGCTGTGGGCTGGTGGAATAAATCCTAAAGCCCCACACAGCTGCTACAGCCATGCTTGGCATTTTCCTTACAGCCACATACAACTTGTACGAGAACCAGTCACACTCTGTGTATTATTAAGAAGTTAGCACTTTCAGTTGTCTTGTTTCAAAGATAGTTAAGATACACTTTTTAATTCAATTTCAGCCCACACAAATTTCTTCCTTCTCTGATTGCAAAGTATACTTGGTCAGGACTACACAATTTAGCATTTAATATTCTCTCAGTATTTCACAAAGGCTGTGTGACTTTGCAGAAAAACTCTAAGTGGGTTACATAGCACAGTATGTTATAAATGGTTTTTAAAATGCATAATGTGTATAAAACACTCTCTAAAGCAATTTCCTTCTTTCAGATAAAACAAACCCTACTTGATTGAATTTATTTTATACCACCGAAGTGCTGAGCAATATAACAAACACAAAACCATGGCTATACCATGCCTATTGTTCTCCATTCCCTGCATGCTAAGAGACATGTTCTATGTTGACTAAACTATGCAATGGAACTCTTCTAATCATCTTGGGTACATTTGAGCCATGCACTGTGTAACAAATGAAAAGGGACTGAATTGGGTCACTGTTTGTTTCCTTAAAAAGAGACTAGAGATGATCTTTAGGCAGCAGCATTTTATCTGCCAATGCTGCAAAACTGACAGAAGAAACAGGACATGTCTTTCCAAAACAATGGTTTCCAAGCAAGTTCCTCCTTGAAGATCTGAAATGTGTCACTGATCTCAACAGGCCACAGATCTGGCCTCAGCTGTCCTTTTCAGGAACCATCAACAGGCTTACGTTTGCAATCTTTAGAATGCAGAGGGCCCAGTGGCCACCAGCAGGAACTGTTTGGAAGATGAACTGCAAAGGTCATCTTTAGTGTCTCTGAGCTGAGTGGTAGTAGAGGTGTTTGGGACAGTTCTGTTCACCTGTGGTCTGTGGCATCTATTCAATCATCCTGCTAGTGCTGCCTTTCTGTTACCAGCTTTGCCCACAAATGGGAAGTTAAAGCAAAAACAGGAGAAATAAGCCTTGTCGTCCCACAGCACAGTAGGGTAATGACATCTTACAATTTATTATGTAATTATATATATATATTATGTGTAAAGAGAGG